ATATATATATTTTGATACATGCATCCAGCCCTGTTGTGTTTTTCTCTCAGAATTCTCATTTATTTTTTTCCCCTTTTCACTTGAAGACAACTAGTTTATCCTTTGTGCTTGTCTTGCTGTTACATCCACCATGCCTGTATGCTTCTAGCACTATGGCTTACTCGTAATCCAGCTAATTGGTTTTTGGGTTCTGAGCATAAACAGCATGCTTCTTATTATTATATTTGTCAAGTTTTTCTTTTTTTTTTTTTGTTGGTAACAGCTTCTTTTATGAGTTCTGGTGCTGAAAAGATTTTCTCTGGTTTTTGTAAAAAAATCATCACATGTTGAGAATGAACTGAGGATTTAGTCGAGTGGAGCTACAAAATGTAGTTTCCCGTGTCAGGTTAATGGAGGATCACTCTTGGTCGTTTTCTTTCTATTGTTTGGCAGTCATATTTGGGAACTTACTTGTGGTTTCATGGGAGTTTTATTGTAAAGAAATTATGAATTTCGTTTCAAGAATGAAGCTGTGTGTTCCCTTATTCATTGATATATTCGTTCATTTATAGAGCCATACGTGTGTTCATTCATTCATCTTCTATTTCATTTTATAAAAAGGAAAGGTGATATTAAGTTGAGTTTGTTTCCTTAAAACCAGGCCCCTGTTAATATTGCTTCTCAAGGAATGTCTTCAAGGATCGTAATTTCTCACACATTTCTTTCATCTGATTTTGGGGTGCATTTGCATGCTTATGTTGAGGCTGCCTTCCAATTTTTTTCAGAAATGGACGTCAGTATGGATGATTTTTTGGAAAAAGTTGTTTTACATTCAAATTTAAAGGAGATATGTTTCTTTGAAGACATTTCTAGTGCAGTATTTGCAGCATGATCAAGGCATGATGTTTATCACGGATGCCAGTTTTGGGTTGTGTTTTCTTGTCTTGCACGTTGTCATCATTTGTTCCTTTTTCTGGAGTCGTTGGAGTTGGGACATTTTTCTCCTGTGTATTTGTAAATGATTTTGACAGACAGAGCCTTTGGCATTGCAGAGAATTAAGATATGTTGTAAGATATGATCACAGACTGTTGGCATTGCAGAGAATTAAGATATGTTGTGAGATATGATGACAGACTGTTGACATTACAGAGAATTAAGATATGTTGTAAGATATGATTACAGACTGTTGGCATTGCAGAGAATTAAGATATGTTGTAAGGTTTGATCACAGACTGTTACATCCCATGCCCTATTCATCAGCTTTAAGAGCGAGGTTTTTTCGGTTACTTTTGGAATGTGCAGATTTTGGAACAATTTTGCTTACGGTAAACAATGAAAGAAGTAGCTTGGACTACTTTTCTCTGTTCATTAGAAACACTAGTTCCTGTAGCAAGAATGTGGTTGTGAATACTGAATCTATTCATCTTTGGCAAATGAAAATCAGCAAATGTGAAACAGAATTCTTATTTCCCCCATTTCTTAGTTTGAAAGTCCTAGGAAATGGATGGTGGAGTTTTGCTTTTGGTGAGGAGTTTCATGTGTCTGTGTCAGGTGTTGAGAATTGGTGATAGAAATTAATAGTAGCCTGTGAGGACCACAGTCAAAAATGGTTGTGATATATTTCTGTATGTATGTTAATGCGCTGTTGTTGTTGTTGTTGTTGTTGCTGTTGTTGTTGTTGTTGTTGTTGTTGCTGTTGTCAGTGCAGCTGTTGTGGCCCCTGTGTCCTTCACCTTGATTATGTGTTGTGGAATGTTCACGTCTGCTTCAGTCTCACAGTTCTATAGTGGGTGGTTGGTGGGCGCTCTGCTGTGCTTTGCTCTCAAACACGTGTCATCCTCATCTCTCCTCCTTCTTTCCTATCAAACACGTGTCATCCTCATCTCTCCTCCTTCTTTCCCATCAAACATGTGTCATCCTCATCTTTCCTCCTTCTTTCCTTTCAAACATCTGTCATCTTCATCTTTCCTCCTTCTTTCCTTTGTTTGATGCTGTCTAGTAAGACCTCTCACCCTCAGCTCTTGTTTGACACGTTTGTGGTGCACTCACTCGTGTATTAGAACACTTACAACTAAAACGAGAAACTTTGATTTCACAAACGACAAAACTGACCAATGTCTCCCCCCCAGGAGGCAGATCTCGGTGTACAGTGCAGTTGACCTCCCCACCGCGGCCGACCCCGACTTTGTTCTGTGGCTGGAGGAGCAGCTCTTGACTCCGCCCCCCTCCTCCCCCACCTCCCCCTCCCCCTGGTCTGAGAGTGGCGTGTCGCGGCGTGGCGTGTCGCGTTCCTCTGTGATAGACGTGCTGTGGTGCTACGCGGAGCAGCTGTCTGATCCGGCGGCCGTGTTCCCGTGCTGTGTCGTGCTCTCCTCCCACACGGTGTTCATCGAGAGGCTGGTCTCCCTCCCGTCCAGCTTCCCCAGCGTGCCGCAGCTAGAACCGTGCAGTATCCTGCCCGTCGGGAACATCCATCAGATAATCGTGGGCCCCTGCCACGCCTACATGCGCGTAGAGGAAGCCTTTGTGGGGAGGGCGGGCACGTACACGTTGTATGCCCTCCAGCCCACCGCCGTGAGGACATTTCTTCACAAGTTGTTGGAAGTCAACAGTGGGATGGACGTTCGCAACTCTCCGGATTGTCTGGATCTATCCGTTCAGTCGGATTTGTTGAAAGTGATAGCGGGGAGGGAAGAGAAGGATGGTGGGGTGGCGTCGGATCGCATCGCTGTGGCTAGTCTCATCAGACCCAAAGGTTTCCACAACTTCACATTCCTTGTTCTGTCGGAGAATGGAGTCTACTGTTTGGATCGCAGTCTCACCTCATGGCCTCCTGCCTCCTTCCAAGCCAATCCAGACAGCTCGATTCCTTTCAAGGTCATTCACGAGTTCGCCATCATGGACATGATCTCTGACATCAAGCTCCGCCCCCCGGCCCGCCCCACCACACAGACAGAGCCAGGCGTGGCTGCAGAGACAGCGGCGTACGGAGCGCTGGAGTCCGGCATGACCTTCACCCACTACCAGCTGGACCTGGAGGTTTATCTGGCTCCGGGGAAAGACGACCTTCTCACCACCGTAGAGACGCTGCCCAAACGCCGCTGCGAGAACGTGTGCTACCACTTCTACTCTGCGGCGTCACGTGACCTGTTCCTTGACCGACTGACCAACCTGAGGGTGGAGCAGGCGCACCGCATGTCGCCCAGCGTGCGCCAGGAGCCCGAGGGAGGCAACGAGCAACTGCCGCTCCGTGACGCCGCACCACCCCCCTCCTCCCCTCCTCTCAGTGACACCAGTTCTGACAAAAGCCACAGTTTCCGTGGCAACTCTTCCCCGCCAGCTCGCCTGCCCGGCCACCGTGACTCGGGCTACAAAAGTCCTGATGACTTGTCTGCTGTGTCCAGATTGGTGTCTGGGTCTGGGAGAAAATCTGGATCAGAAACAAAAGAAATCCTCGCTCGCTATGTGGACAGCGGTGTCCTTGAGAGAGATCGGAGTCCCGCGATAGCCGTGCAGACGGCCGGTGTGGTGGGGGTGTCGTCTGCTCTCAAGTCTGCCGACCTGGCCAGTGTGAGCGCGTCTGTGGTGTCCGACCGGTCCCTGGGAGCTGGGTCTCTCACAGACACTGACCTTTGCCCCGACCTGACCCTACCCCAGCGGGTCGCGGGCGACAGCTCTAGCTACCACTCTTCCTCCCTCAAGGACGACCTCTCAGTGTCGCCCATGTCCAACTTTTCCCGTGCCAGCATCAGCCCTCCCGTCCCTCACGATGACACGCACGCCACACACCACCACTCGCAGCGCGCCACACACGCCAGGCCCTCTCGTCACGTTTGTCAGGACAACGTGGCCAAAGCGGACTCGCTGCCGTCGAGCTACGAGTGGAGGAAGTACTACTTCAAGTCGCCTCCCCTGGACGGAGAAGTGGAGAGTTGTGTGGCGGTGGCGTCCGCCGTCCCTGGCTTAGTCGGTGTGAGGGACAGCCGGACAATCCTGGAGGATGTCGAGTCCAGCTCAGAGATGGAGAACGGTCACAAGTATGACGTGTCCTTGACTACCGAAGACAGTTGTGTCGTGGAAACAGAACTAGAAGGCTACCTCAAACGCTGCGTCAAATCGTACGACCTGATCCACCCCCTCCCCACCAGACTGAAGCCTCTGGGGCTGATGAGTGGCCGAGAGCTGCGCAAGTTTTTCCACTCGGTGGTGGCGACGAAGCACGTGAGTGAGGCGGGGAAACACGGGAGTGAGGGGGGGGAGGGCCTAGCGGAGGATCTGCACCACGTGTTGTGGGCGTACGTTGTCCCGTACAGCAACCCGCGGCAGGAGATCCCCACACTGGTTATGGTGAGTACCCGCGCTGTCTACCTCGTCTCCGACACCAGCGTACAGACCCCCGGCCACTCCAGGCCCTCCTGGATGACCCACGCCCGCAACCAATCAGATTCTGCGTTTGCCTGGAAGACGGCGGCGCTGGCGGGGGGGTCGGGAGGCTCTAGTCGACCCATGGTCAAGCCGTACTTTGTTTTCCGGTTTGAAGATCTGGAACAGGTGAACGTGGGACTGTTTGACCAGTGTGTGCGGCTCACGGGCTCCAACGAGAACTGTGTGTTCACCGTGGCCACACGGGACAGGGTGGTCACCGAGACGTTCCTGCACAAACTGAAGCACGTCCTGTCTCTCACCGTCTCCTCCCCGATGGCGGAGCGCAGCAGACAGGAAGTGGAGCAGGACTTCTACCGCGACAGCTCGCAGCGCACAAAATCCACGATCGACGGCCACGTGTACACACACCCGAGCCAGGTGGAGTTTGTTTACCCAGGCGAGGACACCATACAGGACATGTTGTACCTGGTCAGTGAGCGGGTGGGGGGCGGGCCGCGCAGGTCTGGGTCGTCCTCCGTCAGCGAACCGACGTCGCTCTGGTTCTACCTGCTGTGTTATCTCCTCCCCTCGGACGACGCTGCCCCGACCTCAGAACGGACGCGGCCGCGGAGCGTGATTGTGACCGCCACACATCTGTGTCTGGCCGAGGAGGACCTGGTCACCTACCCGCTGCCCGACTTTGTGAGAGGCCTCCCGGAGAACCCGTGCCAGGAGATCGTGGAGTGCCGCAGAATCGACAGCTTGAAGCGTGTGCAGCTGTCCCACGCTAACCCCCACACCGTCTCGCTGGTGTTTGCCGACGAGGTGGACGGGATCGTGGTGGACGTCTCCATGGAACACTTCGCTCACGCACGCCCGGGGGGCAAAGGTCGCCTGAAGCCCAGCCCGGAGGTCGCCATCCGCTTGTTCATCCAGAGCTCTCGGGAGAAGGACAAAATGGTGGCCGTGATTGAGAGACTGTGGAAACAACAGGTGGCTCAGGTGGGCCGCATTCTGGACGTTAGTAAAGTCTAGCTGTGTGGGGGGATGTGTGGGTGTGTGTGTGTGTGTGTGTGTCTCTCAGGTGGGCCGCATTCTGGATGTTAGTAAAGTCTAGCTATGGGGGTGTGTGGGGGGATGTGTGTCTGTGAGAGTGTGTGTTTGAGTGTGTTAATCGACTGCCCAGTGTAAGAGTCCTTCATGCATCAGTTTCCCATAACGCCGTAGAGTGGAGTGTGCACGTAGCTGTGACTGTGGTCAGTTGACACTGCCGGTGCAGTCTGTCTGTTCACACTGCCGGTGCAGTCTGTCTGTTCACACTGCCGGTGCAGTCTGTCTGTTCACACTGCCGGTGCAGTCTGTCTGTTCACACTGCCGGTGCAGTCTGTCTGTTCACACTGCCGGTGCAGTCTGTCAGTTCACACTGCCGGTGCAGTTTGTCTGTTCACACTGCCGGTGCAGTCTGTCTGTTCACACTGCCGGTGCAGTCTGTCTGTTTGACGGTGCAGTCTGTCTGTTCACACTGCCGGTGCAGTCTGTCTGTTCACAACCTGCGTCTCTACCATCATCCCTGTGACCACGGAACCCCTGATTCCTTGATCGTTGAAAATGGCACGGAACCCCTGATTCCTCGATCGTTGAAAATGGCACGGAACCCCCGATTCCTCCATCGTAAAAAATGGCACGGAACCCCTGATTCCTCGATCGTTGAAAATGGCACGGAACCCCCGATTCCTCCATCGTTGAAAATGGCACGGAACCCCCGATTCCTCCATCGTTGAAAATGGCACGGAACCCCCGATTCCTCCATCGTTGAAAATGGCACGGAACCCCTGATTCCTTGATCGTTGAAAATGGCACTCAAATAATTGAATAAAAGAGGGCATTTTATTTTGCTTTTAAACCTTGGACTGAAATAATTGTGATGATTTAGTTGTTGTCGTGGCACAGACGGACAAAGTGTTGGGCTCAAACCTTGACAAAAGTTTCCGTTGTTGCATTCCCTCGCTTTGTCTTCAAACTCTCCGTAGTCACCTCTTTTTTTGTCCTGCAGTACTCTCATTACTTTATTTCTTCCTCTTTTTTCTGGGATAAAAGGTGAAGGTCAGAGACAGATCATTCTCCTGTCGTTTGCGTCTGTAGATCTAGTTCATGATCGTAGAATCTCTCCCCCCCCCCATGCTCTCTCCCACCTCCCAGACTCTCCTTGCCAAAAGTCGATTGACGTCCGTATTTGTCCATTTCTCTTTACTCAGCTGATCGTTGTATATTACAAAAGCATAATTGTGTGTGAGGTCATGTCTACAAGTACCGTGGACGCACTGGGTGAGTGGTTCTGTGTCCAACTGAGTAGATTTATGGGTGAGTGGTTCTGTGTCCGACTGAGTAGATTTATGGGTGAGTGGTTCTGTGTCCGACTGAGTAGATTTATGGGTGAGTGGTTCTGTGTCCGACTGAGTAGATTTATGGGTGAGTGGTTCTGTGTCCGACTGTGTAGATTTATGGGTGAGTGGTTCTGTGTCCGACTGAGTAGATTTATGGGTGAGTGGTTCTGTGTCCGACTGAGTAGATTTATGGGTGAGTGGTTCTGTGTCCGACTGAGTAGATTTATGGATGAGTGGTTCTGTGTCCGACTGAGTAGATTTATGGGTGAGTGGTTCTGTGTCCGACTGAGTAGATTTATGGGTGAGTGGTTCTGTGTCCAACTGCCAGTCGTAGGACAAACATCAACAAGTACTCATTCCTCCCCCCCCCCATCTACATATGACTGTCCTCAGCAATGTTCTCAGTTGTGTAGACACATGCCTCATAAACGCTGAATCAACAGAACCATGCCTTAGACTATAAACACCTCTCTTCTTGCACGCGGCTAAGGAAGGATTTTTCTGTCGCTTCTTGAAGTTTGGAAGCACAGTCAGAAGTTTGTCCCCTCCAGTTCTACTTCTTCTCCTAGTGTCTCGTGCTCCCAGGGAGTGGTTTCCTCAATGGGAATAGACATCCACAGATTTTTATTCATCCAGTGATGACGCAATTTTACATGTTTTTTATATTTTTTGGAGAAATGCCAGTATTTCTTTGACTCCTTCTAGAGCTTTGAGGATGAAATTGTTCTGATGTAGCCAGGATGAGATTTTTGTTTTGTGAAAGAAACAGATCTTTGTTATTGCTATTGTTAGTGAAAATGCATGCCATGTTTCTGCAGTTGCGTTTATATTGGAAAGTTTATGCAGTTTCTGGTCTGACTTCCCGCCATGTTTGTTCTGTGTGTGTGTACATGTTTGTGTTCTCTGTGTTATTATTGTTACTATTATTATTATTGTTTTTGTTATTATTGTTACTATTATTATTATTGTTAAGATTCAAGTGAAGAGAGCATGTATTGTAGCGTCGACGTCCATCAGCACAGGGAGAGCTGTAACTGTCGCAGACCTGTCATCTGTAACTGTCCCAGACCTGTCGTCTGTAACTGTCGGGGATGTGTCGTGTGTCAGTCTGTTGTGTAAATAGCTCCCAGTATTCTATCACTACTTGTCTTTTCCACTGCCAGGCTGTGAACTTTGAACTTGTGTGAACTTTGAACTTTCCTCCAGTGAAGACTTCCAGGAAGACATCCGTGAAGTGCGGCAATAGTCATGAGTCTCAGGTCAAGGAACTACTGTCGGAATTGTCCACGAGGGTGTGTGTGTGTGTGTGTGTGTGTGTGTGTGAGAGAGAGTTATGTGCAGGGTGACACTTTTGCGTGTATGTAGGGGCGTGTCTCTCTTCCTGACTCCCGTGGAGATTCAACAGTTTTCAAATTTGTAGATTTTTAACCGATGCCGATTTTTAAAAGTCTATCTTGTCTTTTACCATGAATTGTGCAAACCCATTCCATAAATTTTATGTTTTTATGTCCGTAGTCACTTGCCATTTGAACATGACCTCATCTGAGAACTTTACTCAAATTACAGAATTTTTCCAGAAAAAGATTTTTGATGAAATTGGAACTGACTCGAGTTCCCTGTACAACTACTACTATGTGTCTACTTGACTACCATGTGTCTACTTGACTACCATGTGTCTACTTGACTACTATTTACAACTACTACTTGACTACTATGTGTCTTTCATTTTGTCGTTTTATTTGGGGTCATGTGGGGTCACGCTTTTCAATTTTTTTTTGGAGAAAACTTGAAGAGAAGGGAAAGGAAACTTTCCCCCGCTACTTTTATATATGACCTAATTGTGTTGCAGCTGCTGCAAAACTTTTACTAAAACAACTTTTCGTTTCACTTTGGATTTTTACCCGTTCACTTGTGTGTTTACCTGTCAAATGTAACATTTGTATGAAGTTACACTTAGGAAAGTCTGTATTGAACTACCCCGTTGCGGGATGGAAAGATCTTTCTCAGAGAGATTTCCATTGTTCTATTTCTGCACGTGTCCCGTTTGTGAGGACTTTGTGTCCAGTGCCAGTTGATCGCGAGGACGGAAGTCCTAGTTCTTGTCTTCTTGGTCAGATGGTTGTTGGTGAGGACGGTGCAGTGGATGGTTGGCGGGTGCTCTGGTGTGGTCTGCTCCTTCTTTCTCATCAAACATCTATCATCATTATCTCTCCTCCTTTTTTTTTAATCGAACATCTATCATCATTATCTCTCCTCCTTCTTTCTTATCAAACATCTATCATCATTATCTCTCCTTCTTCTTTCTTATCAAACATCTATCATCATTATCTCTCCTCCTTCTTTCTTATCAAACATCTATCATCATTATCTCTCCTCCTTTTTTTCTCTTTCTGTTACTCTCCAGCAACACCTTGAATTTATGACCAAATTGTGTTGCAAGTGCTGTGAAACTTATGAAAGCTAAAAAACAAAAAAAAAAGAAGAAGAAAAACGACTGTTGCAGGAATACAAGGTACAGAGATTGGATTGTCGCCGTCGCTCTTCATTACACTGACACAATGATATTTATCACCTCTTGTAGTTTGAAATGTGACTTGTATTTTAAAATGTGACTTTGTGTTTTGAATTGTTGTGTTTTGAAATGTTCTCCAATGATAGATTGTGCTGTGCTGTACATAGAGGTGTTGTAGAGATACGTGTTTTTACAGTGGCATGTTGTAGATACGTGTTTTTACAGTGACACATTGTTGCGTGCACAGCGACGTGCCCTCCTTCCTCACACAGACGGAGAGCCAATAAAAAGCTTTCTCTCAACCCACGGGTGTCTTTGGTTGTGTGTGTCTGGTGGTGGGTGGTTGGTGAGTGGTTGGTGAGTGGTTGGTGGGTGCTCTGGGTCAGTTTGCTCCTTCTTTCCCATCAATCGTCTATCGTCCTTATCTCCCCCGTCTCTTGTCCTTATTCTACTATCTAGTAACACCTTTAGCCTATGGTACTTGTACGACCAATTTGTGTTGCAAGTGCCGTAATACTCTACGGTAGGCTACTTATTCTAAAGTGTTTTTGTTGTGGCAGGAAGACAGTGTCTGTTGTGTAGAGGTGTGGTGTAGCGCTGTGTAAACTGTGTCAGTGAGGCTGTAAACTGTCAGTGAGGCTGTAAAAACACTGACATTGAAGAGAGAAGAAAGAGGAACACTGACATGTACAAGGAGAAGGATTTCATTTTAGAGTGCAGTGTTTTCACAAGAATTTTGACTTCCACAAGTGTTTAATGTAGCTCTATACAACACATCTTGAACAATACAAGCCAGAACACAAGCTACAACACATCTTGAACAATACAAGCTACAACACATCTTGAACAATACAAGCTACAACACATCTTGAACAATACAAGCCAGAACACAAGCTACAACACATCTTGAACAATACAAGCTACAACACATCTTGA